AAGAGCATTATGAATGTGTGACATTGTGACACAAAATGTTGCCCGCAGTGGTCACATATGTAATATATTAGATCTTGTTTATTGTTTTATGACATAATTTCTATACATTAATATAAGCAAAGAAAGGAACTCTGTCTGTTTTGGTTGAAAATATAACTACAATAAAAAAAATCTTCAGGCATGAGTTGGGCACCAGTTTTGTGCGTCATTGCTTGTGCGCCACGGAGCTTGGACTGAATGGCTGAGGCGCGTAAGCAAGCCATTTCAGTGCTCCTCCGTTTTGAATCACCTTTTCTATTTAACACAGAAATTGCCTTATTTCCACATGGAGGAGGTCGATGTTGAGCCCGCAGTCACTGTAAGTTACTCCGGTCTGTGTCACTGTCTCCAAATCGCCGCGAACATGCTTAGTTGTCTCCATTTACGTTTTCAATGATAGTGTAACGTTGTAGTAGAAACGCTTTTATATGCGTTTTGTTACTTGTGTAAAACAGCTTATTAATACAAATTAGGACCGTTGCTGTAACAATAATTCTTGAATGAAGAAGAAAGTCCTCAAAATGTTAGCTATAACAGAAAGATGAAACATAGAAATATGACCAATCTTCTTGATTTTGCACATTTCAGTCAATAATTTTCTTCCCATGTTTTCCTCCTACAGAATATACCAGCTGCTGGACGGGGCAAACATCTAGGCTTTGCTTGGGGTCCTGGTGACATCCTTGTGTATGAAACTCGCCATCAACCCAAAGGTTTGTTGACACACCCCCTGTAGAGAATATTATTAAATCCCCTTTTGACATAGCATTCAAAAGTGGACATCTTTGAATGCTCTTGTCCTTTATTTAGAAGCCAAAGGTCCAGGATCTCCGTACATTCATGAAGTGCGAAAAGATGAAGACATCTACTCTCCAATTTTACGCAAGCTCTTCAATGAATCACACCATATTTTTGTTGGACTGCAAACTATAAGAGATGAACTACCAACCAAAAACAAGAAACCTCAGTAAGAACATTCACACTGTGTGATTGTTTTCTTGTTTTTATAGTTAATTGTAATGTCCGGCTCCCTTTTCTCCCTAGATTTGTCAGCGTCAGTAAAAATTACAGATCTGTCATACGGGCCTGTATGGAGGAGCTTCAGCAAGTTGCAGGTTTTTTTTTTTCGATCCTTTTTTGTTTGTTTTATCGTATTTTCAGTTTAAGAGGCATTTTACATTTGAGCATTATTTTCTTCCTTTTATTTACAACAGTTTCTTCACAAGATGCTGAAGTTGCATCACAATATGGAGATCAGGTGCATGCTAGTTGATTTATTATTTATTTAGCTGCAGGTGACCATCTCTCTCTAATGTGTAATATTTTGGTGACAGGTGTCGATTCTGTTGGCCATTGAGCTAATTTGGAATTTGTGTGAGGTGCTGTTTATTGATGCTGCTCCTGGTAAGCGATTTCTTCAGTGCCTAAAATATGAGCTAGCACAATACATCACAGCACACTTTCCTTTTGTGAATAGCGGGCTCCTTGTTGCTCCATCTTCTCGACTGGGTTAGATTGCACAAAGCCGACGTTGATGAGAAAACCAGACAAGTTCTGCAAAGTGAGAGTCCAGCTGAACACCACAACTACTGGGATGTGGTATGTAATAATAGCATTACTAATATAATAATGCTACAAAATAATAATTGTTTTAATCTCAAATGTTCTGGTGTGTGTTTGGCACAGGTGCTGAGTTATGTGCTGCAGGGGAGGTTGGAGGAAGCCAGGCAGATGCTGGTGAAGCAGGCCAATATTCAACCGGCTTCCAGGAATATGTACAAGCTAATGGACACCCTACTTAGCAAAATGCCCTTCTATAATGTGAGAATTGTCAGCTCTCCTTTTAATTTTATGCCACAGGAAATTATCTGCTTTACCCTACATTCAGTTTTCTCTTACACATAGCCAAATTCATTACTACACTAAGTTAAAAACAAACACAAACTTTCCATTTGATTTTGCTTATTCATGCTCAATCTAATCTGTTCCTTCCCCCATTTCACTTGGCTCCACTTTTGGACCATTACACGATATGCCTCATTACTGTATGTTTACTGTATGTGTCATTACTGTAGGTTGGTCATGCTGCGATAATCCAATGCCATTTTTAAAGCTGAAGTCACACTTTTACTCTCTTGTACTTAGTCTGTGAGCATAAACATGGTCAAATAAATTGTAACATGATATTTGGGCTTTTTAGCCAAGTGGCACACAGACATTGACAGAATTTGATGTGAAGTGGAGACATTGGCACGAGGAGGTTGACCGATGCCTTCAGGACAACTCCTTTGCCAGCAGCCACCATCTGGAGACTATTTGCAAAGTCAGTTCTTTCAATTGTTTACAGCCATTATTATTATTATTATAAAGCAAAAAATACTGCAGAGTAAACTGTAAACACTTCTAATCCAACATCATTAATACTACAGTTGCAACTAGATTGTGTCTTCAAACATTTACCTTTTTTATTATTTTACTGTAGATTTTAGCAGGAGATGAAGATACTTTGTTGGAGCAGAAGGATTTGCTCAGCACTTGGTATCACTTTTTGGTCACTAGATTGCTTTATTGCCATCCCACTGTCAAGCCCACCGAATTACACTACTATGCACAGGTAAATATATAAAACATCTTCTACTGCAGTACTCATTAATGCTGCCCTATTAACAGTGGTAACATTTTGTTTTTATGTCCTCCAGTCATGTTTGACCATGTTTCTGGAAACGAGTGCCCCAGAACCTCTTGACAGTATCTTATTGGCTGCTTTTGAATTTGACATCCATCAAGTCATTAAAGATTGCAGGTACACATTTTAAGATGAATTATGATCTTTTTTATGAGTTTCTAATTTTATATACTGAATCCCACAGCATTGCCCTGAACAACTGGTGGTTTGTTGCCCATTTGACAGATCTTCTAGATCACTGCAATCTTCTCCAGTCTCACAATCTGCAGTAAGTGTTCATGACTTGAGTGCACAATTTTGGTCTAGAGAAATAATTTTACATTATTATTGTTCTGCCTTTATTTTAAGCTTTGGCTCCAACCTGAGGGAGTTCCTCCTCTTGGAATACGCCTCAGGGCTGTTTACTCATCACAGGTACAAATGTAACTGGTTGTATAGTCAAACATAAGCAGCACTTATTGTATTTTGCCTGACATGATTTTTATGTTGATGTATAGCCTATGGCAGTTGGCTGTGGACTACTTCGACCACTGCCCAGAGTTTGGTCATGTTTATTTGGAGCTGCAGATTGAGCGTGTGCCTTTAGACACTGAACGCAAAGCTCTTAAGGTGCTCAGGATCTGTGAACAGAGGCAAATGTCAGAGCAAGGTAACTCTTTCATATGTCCCATAAACCCTACAAAACGCTCTCACCTGTTTTACTGAACTTATTTTATGTTATTATAGTGCGCAGCATCTGCAAGATCATGGCCATGCGAGCACTAAGGAACAACCGACTGGGTTCTGCACTGTCCTGGAGCATCCGAGCCAAGGATGCTGCTTTTGCTACACTCATTTCAGAGAGGTCTGTTATTATATGTTTAATATGAAACTTGAATTGCACTTTGCTAATACACATTTTTACAGATTCTTGCAGGATTACTGCTCTAAGGGAACATTCTCTGATCTGGATCTGATTGATAATTTGGGACCTGCGATGCTTCTTAGTGACAGACTTACTTTTCTTGGTATGGAAACAAACTATTGTGTACTATGTTTTTGGTCAGAATTTAAAAGCTGGTTGTTTTCTGGTCTTCAGTGTGAGGTTTAAGTACATTTCAGGTCTCATGAGACTCAGACTCACAGGTATTTTTTTTTAAACTGAGATCAGTTTTATGCATATATATGCATGAACATGTGCAAAAGTAAGACTGCTTGCCTTTTTGTTGTTGAAATCCAATTTTTACGTCTGAAACAAAGCATTGTTTTTTTCCTTCAAGGAAAGTACCGGGAGTTTCACAAGCTCTATGAAGAAAAGAGATTCACAGAGGCAGCTAAACTTCTGCTTTCTCTCATGACTGCAAAGATTGCACCTCGAAGCTTCTGGATGACCCTGCTAACTGATGCCCTGCCACTGCTTGAACAGAAAGAAGTATGTTTTTAAAATGAATAGCACATATTGTGATAGTCTTCAGGACAAATTAAAAAACTACAATTAAAGACTAAAAACCTGATTTAATGTATGTTTTTATTAATTTGTCAGGCTTTGTTTTCCCATGTACAGTAGAAGAAAATAATCTAATGTTGTTGTTCATTGCTCAGGTGATCTTTTCAGCTGATCAAACATATGAGCTCATGTGCTGTTTAGAGGAGCTTACGTCTTCTTTAAATAAGACTGCCCCTGGCCCTGATCAGCCCATGCAGGTATCCCCTTTTCTACATATTTTTGCTACAATAAAAATGTGAAGCTTTGTTGTGATATTATTAATCAAATTCTCCAAAACATTTTTTTTTTATTCAGGATGAAGATATTGAAGTGACCAAAGTAGAGCTCCTACGATTGGCTTTAGCCAGAAATCTAGCCTTGGCTATTGTCAAAGAGGGAACAGTTGAGGCATAATGATCATGATAACATGAAAGCGCTTTTTGATATTTTTGTACATATTCAAAAGAAATGTTATTAAAATACTTTTCAAGATTTTGTGTATTTTGAGGTTTTTTTTTTTTTTGAAGGGCCATACAATATTTATATAAAGAATATTTATTTCATGCAGCAAACAAGCAAATTGCACTTTGTACAGATGTGAAACTCCAGACTTCAAAAACTACACTGAGGATGTTCATTTTATACAAAACATGGAACATAACAAATGCACACTTTCACTAGATTTGTTGACAATTTTATCTTCACATTTTATTTTTCCAGTGATTTGTCAAAATACTGCAAAGGAATACCCATAAACACATGATAAATAACGATAACCTTCAACACCTTAATCACTTCAAGGTTGCTAAAAGAAAACACTGATGTGCCTATGTTCCTTCTAAACCTAACCGTTGTTTCTGGGGTGCATTACTGCTAGTAAAAATGGAGCCCACTCATAATACAAAGAGTAGCAATTTTTTTCTTCACCACACCTAAATAAAATCAAGAGAAAGCTATTTTTAACCAGAACCATTTCCATGATCACAGAGTCATCGCTCAGATTTCTTGAGATCGTGAGATAATTAAATCATTGGCTTTCTTGTGCACAAATTCAGTATTAAAACATTTCTAGTTCTTAGTGTTGTTTAACCGTTGACCATATTTAGTCTTAGATGTGTAGAGTAAAAGGTTTTAGTATATTAATTTGTGAAAATCTAAGTCTTCATCAAATAAATTCAGTCCTAAAAATATTCTATGTTGTGTTAGTGCCTTGATGTCCATAATTTCATATAGCTAACAAATTACTGTTGTTAGTAGCAATAAATATGATAAAAATACACAACATAAAGAGGAAATGACACAAAAGCAAATGAACGGTGGTACTACTTTGCTATAGATGACCCCATGTCTCTGGTGGAGGGAACTGATCAACTTCTCCAACTTCATTGCACTGACGGTCTCCAAGTACGAAAGCAAGCTTGTATCGCAGGCGCACCTTATCCTATGAACATAAGCAATCATTTAGTAATCAATATGAAATTTATTTTGAAAGATTGTTAAAACAATTTTGTCAGGAAAGAAATACATACTCTAGATGGATTGGCCAATAACATGATCTGTGTAATGGATGCTGGGGGTAGAATTGGATTAAATGGGGCCAGTTCGGTTCCTGACGGAGGTTGAAGCTTGACTTTCATTGACTGGTGGGAATAAGCAAGGTTGGTGCTAGGCAAATATAAATGTACTTGCTAAAGGACAAAAAGATAAGTTTACCTTTGGTACTGCAGCTTGAAGAACCACATTATGGACAGGGAGTGGGGCAGTATTTAACATGGACACAACCATTACGAGGACATCTAACCTGCCTGGAGGACAGTTGGACGCAAAGTTTATCAAAACACGCACCCCGTCTTTATCATACGCAGTTACAGGGAGCACTTTACCTGATTACAAGAAAATAGAGGGTTAATATTTAAAGCATAAGTTACAGTTAGGTTTATATCAAAGAATTTCTTACTTGGTTTAATTGTTTCTAATGGGACATAAACATTGCTAAGGGAGAAGTCTGCTCCTCTAGCTGGACTGCCCTGAAGTGTAGAGTGACCAGGTGACATGGGCAGAAACTGTGGGAGAAACTGTGGGCTTCCTGGAGCAGAGCTGAGGCTTTGGAACCGGGTCTGGGACAGAGCTGGAGAGCCTGGCATCGTGCTCTTCAGAAGGGAGGCTGAAGATGGAGAGCCTTGTGCGGATACAAAGGAGGGCACAGTAGCTGGCATCACAAAACCACTTCCACTAGAAAGAGTGGATAAAGCGAAGACAAAAAAAAAAAAATAAAGAAATTATAAGAAAATATTTTTAAAAAACATAAGATATTTGTGTCAAAAAAGAAAACGCCAACCTCAGTTTTAATTATAATTTTTGGAAGTTTGCAAAGAGACAAAAGGCGTGCATGCATCTCTGCTTTATTTAACACTCAGCTGGTTAGCATAATTGTGCACAACATTTACCCATAATCTTCACACATCCTGTCTCAGTCCCTTTACAATAACATATGTTTTGTTTGTGAGATAATATCGTGTCCAAAACAATTTAACAATTTTTATACCTATTGTCTGAAAGCCCAACCATGGCCAGGTCTTGTAGGTTATGTAGACTGTGACTGACTTCTGACAGTGCTGGTGCAGGCTGCGAATATGTCCCACTCCCAAACAAATCAGCTCCAGATGCTGGGGTCTGTAAAAGAAGAGCAGTGTCAGGGGGCATTTTAAATTAACCATCCAAGACATATATGTATCAGTACCTGCAGCGAGCTCCACTGCTGGGACACTTCAAATAATTTTGTCTTGGACTGGTTGCTCTGAGAAGTTGGAGGGTCATTCAGACCTAAAAAATTATATACAATTTAAATACAATATACAACTTAACCAAGTATTACCAATAAAATGATTCATATTACCTAGAGACAGAAGCTCATCATCAAGAAGAGACAATGATGCAGAAGCTTTGTCGCGTAACGTGTGACTGGGAGTGCCTGTTCGACTGCCCTGGGCGTCGCCCACTGGTTTTGGGAGAGGAGCGAGTACAGGGACAGGAGGGACCATGGCGTGTGTGGAGAAAGGATTGGGAGGTTGAGAAAGCAGAGCAGCAGGATGAGAAGGGCTCGGAGTGTCGCTTTCACTGAGGTCGATGAGTGTGTCCGTCTCTAAGGGATAAGAAACACATGTAAAAATAAACAAGAAAATGTAATTTGTCCTCATGTACATACAGTCCCTGACAAAAGTCTTGTCACTTATCCATTTTGTAGAAACAAAAGCTTATAACCTGACTTTAAATTAATCGATTGGTTTTAGAAATGTCTCATATGAAAGCTAAAACCCTCCCAAATTATGCTCAATATACTAAAATAAATTTGCTTCACTGAAGAAAGATTGATCATTTAATGAACACAGAAAGGTCAGATTTTGGCAAGACAAAAGTCTTATCGCCTTGTCATATGATGCACCCAATCCTAGATTACAGCCTCACCTGTGATCAGTTACTGATCAATCAATTAGTGGGTGTGTATAAAAAGAACCCAGCACACCAGACCTTCACATCAACTGCAACTTGACCTCTGACAACATGCCTAAGATCCACCCTGAGACCAAAGCGTTAATTATCAAGAGGCTGAAGACCAGATCCACTGCTGAGGTGGCTGACACCTTCAATGTGTCTCAGCGTCAAGTACAAAGAATAAGAAAAAGATCTGAAATGACTGGAGATGTTTTTGACAAGCCCAGGTCCGGCAAACCCCGCAAGACAACTGCTCGAGAGGACCGTTTGTTGATTCGAAAATCCAAGGCCAGCCCCTTTTCCACTGCAGCAGAGCTCCACCAGGCCTGGTCACCTCAAGTCCCTGTGTCAACCAGAACAGTTTGTAGAATTCTGTCTCGAAATGGCCTCCATGGTCGAATCAGTGCACAGAAACCAGCACTAAACAAAAGGCAATTAAAAAAAACGTGTGGCATTTGCCACACCCAGAAAACAGTTAAGTTTGGTGGCGGAAAAATCATGTTCTGGGGTTACATCCAGTATGGGGGGACATTTGCAGGGTGGAAGGCAATACCAATAGCCTAAAATATCAAGAAGTATTAGCTGCCTCTTACATTCCCAACCATAAAAGGGGTCAAATTTTGCAGCAGGATGGTGCTCCATCGCATACTTCTATCTCTACATCAAAGTTTCTCAAGGCGAAGAAGATCAAGGTGCTCCAGGACTGGCCAGCCCAGTCACCAGACATGAACATCATTGAGCATGTCTGGGGTAGAATGAAAGAGGAAGCATGGAAGGCAAAACCAAAGAATCTTGATGAACTCTGGGAGGCATGTAAGACTTTCTTTGCTATTCCTGATGACTTCATCAACAAATTGTATGAATCATTGTCGAACCGCATGGATGCGTCCTTCAAGCTCATGGAAGTCATACAAGATATTAAATATGGATCTCACAGCACCACTACTTAATTCACTGACGTTATGCAACATATTTTTGTATTTTAAGTAAATTATTTGTTCAATTTTCTGTAGGCGACAAAACTTTTGTCTTGCCAAAATCTGACCTTTCTGTGTTTATTAAATTATCAATCTTTTTTCAGTGAAGCAAATTTCTTTTAGTATATTGCATAATTTGGGAGGGTTTTAGCTTTCATATGAGACATTTCTAAAACCAATCGATTAATTTAAAGTCAGGTTATAAGCTTTTGTTTCTACAAAATGGATAAGCGACAAGACTTTTGTCAGGGACTGTATATTATTGCTTTCTCTGTTCCACAATAAAACATTAAACTACCCATCTTACATTTCCTCAATTGCAGATTTCTTAACATGCATTCTTACTGTAAGCATCGACAACCCTTTACAAATCTGATCAGTAACTTGGCCTTATGGCCTCAGTTGCTTGTCTCCATGGAGATAAAATACTAAAATGCCTTATTATGAAACATTCCAGCCAAAACAGGCCCTCCTGCTTTACACAGTAAACCTTAAGTAATAAGTATATATAATTTTTCCTCCTTTTTTGAGAGAAAAGAGAAGCTGTCTCACCATTTTCACAGTGACATGCTTTAGACTGTGGGTCCTCACTGTCTCCATTGATGGGTTGCCCTTCGACAATCTTCTTATAAGAGCTGATGACTCTTGAGAGGTCGTCACTAGCTTGCAGAATGTCACCTTAGAAAAATATGGATAGTTGCATTACACTTTTTTAATGGTTCTGTCTGCTATTCTGTGCTTATAGGCAATGTTTCACCAAAGGTATCCCATGGAATTTATAAATGATGGAAATTTTGATTGAAAAGGCAAAGCCTAATCATTCAAACTATGCATTACAAACCTAAACTTGTGTCATTGTCTTCAGACTCAGTGGCCATTTTGAATGCAGCCCGTCTCAGCTTGTCACACCGCTCATAAAGTTCCTGGGAAACATAATAGGACCATTGTTGCCGTTGTGCATCAGCTGATTTATTTTAGTTCAATTTAACTCCAGAAAATAATTTTTACATTAGTAATACCATCCTACCTTAATGATTTCTTTGTCCGAGTCAGATGAGCTCTCCTTGTTGTAATGGGACAGCATTTCTGTTAACAGCTTCACATTGATACTCACTTCCTCCAAGGTGTGCATTCTACTAGTTACCTTTTGCACACGCACCTCATCCTAAACAATACATTATTTCAGTAATAATATCCACAAACGGCATATTTAAATCAAAGGAATAGTAAAGTAATGAGATTCAAATAATCTATACCTCTTTCACCATGCTTTTAATCAACCTGTTGGCTTCTTGAAGGTCTTCTGGGTTTTTACTACGGAGGAGCTCAGCAAGTAACTGCAAAAAGAACATCACTACTTAGTATATACATACTAGAACAGTTAGTATTTTCACTTTCAATATATTTCTTACTTTGCCCATATCCTCATTATCAAACACTGGATGTTTTGGTCGTGTAGGAGGTGATGGAATTAAAGTTCTGTCTAATGGCAGCTCCGGATCCTGTGTTACAAGACCTAAAATCAAAAAGATAGTCACGGTTCCCACAGTTCCCACATATTAAATAATGTCCACTTCAAACTGATTACCTCCTGTATAGTTTTTATAATGAAATAAATATCTAGTTTAAGCCCAAGGCTCTAAGTCCAAAAGCATACACCAAAAATATTTGTGGTGGAACTCACATTAGATGAAGAAAACATGTGAACCAAAACAACCCAAAATATATATTTTACAAACAGACATAGAATCCTGTCTTAATAATATGTCCATACACACCCTGTCGTTTGAGCGTCTGGTATGCTTCGGCAATCTTGCTTTCATCTGGAAAAGCAACTGTCCAGCTGTACAACATTTCCACAATCTTAGTCTTCACCTTTTCAGGAGCACTGTCACCCATATACTGAAAAGAAAAATGTATATGTAGCTGTAAAATATGTCATTATCAGTTTTTAGATTGCTACCAGGACATACCTTGGGTGACACCACTTTAATTAGCTCATTTAAAAACCTATATTTTCCAACTTCATTATGAAATCTCCTTCCACAGTTTTTGCATGCCTCCAATACCTATAGTGAAGAAAGGTCTTAATTAAACATGTCACAGAGTAACACGGTGTTAAGCATGTCTTACTGTTAAAGCTTGAAGTGCTTCCCATTCCTGTGGTGAATGGATTTTGTGCACAAGAAGCGTTACTGCTATCTGTGGGCTAACAAATGAAACATTTAGTTATTACAGTATTACACTGAAAGGGAGATTGCATTATGTCATAGACATACCCCTCTAGTTCTCTGTTGATTTGATCACAGAAGCCTATGATGTACTCCCAGTCTTCTTGTCTGTTAGTTGGACGAGTGGCTTTATCTGTAATAGACAATATTAAGATAAATATAAATATAAAGCACATGACATGTGGCAGGTGCAGGAGGAAACTTTGTTTTGAAATAAGAAACAAAGATAATGCTTACAGTTTCATGTTAGCTCTGGTTCCAACTGATGTTTTTCCATAAAACAAAAATCTCACTCCTAAACAGGCCAAACAGGCTGCAGAGATGTTTTAGGCATCAGTCTCATGATGTAAGTCTATACCTAAATCCACACACACTTAAATCCTCCTGAAGCGTCCAATAAATTACACTGACTCTATTTTCACACTTATTGTATTGATGTCAGCCAAATCACAAACACAAATAGGTCAAACTAAAGCATATGTGCCTTTAGTGTTGAGCTGCCTCCACGGAGCTGTCAGTGGTGGCTGCTCAAAGCTCTCCACCCATCCTGCCAATAAAAGCCACTGAAAAACTACAGTTTACGAGCTTTTACCGCCGTGTCAGCACCTGCACCCGCGTCCTTACTACGCTTTCTGTGTGACACTGTAAACGCAAACCAGATAACTGTGCACTGTCATTCATAAAAAAGGGTTTAATCACTTACTGAGCCAGGATTCAAGCGACTCCCCTTCCTGGTACGCCATAGCACTGAAAACATTGCGTGATGTCACTGCCGTGTGAGAGCGTTCATTTTTTATTGATCAAAACAAAAACCTGTATTACCTGAATTACATCGCTTATTTGTAATTATAACTTAAATTTATAGCAATACGTTTCGATAATTTTTAACGCTGCATTTTTTTTCTCTATAGGCAGATGCATAGGGTACTATCTTGGGGTCCTAGCTAGTTGCTCACATTTTCAACATGGCTGCCTCCATCACTGGATTATTAAAACCTTGGACTCCGAGGTAAATTTTATTCTTCTGCATCTATCACTGGAAACCCACAATCTCTCCAAATGTTGGCCATATCAGTGCTGCAACTTCAAATAGCACCGCTTAATTTGCCACACATAAACAGTGACTGACGGTGCCGTGTTTCTTGCTCTTCTTATTGTCATTAGGGTGTTGCTGGTGAGATGGAGCAGATATAATCCGTATTATCTGGAGCCAGAGGTGAGGAAAGAAGCCTACAGCCGCCCGGAGACAGAGTTGAGCGCAGAGGAGAAGGAGCAGCGGGATGCGAAAGCCCTCAGGCCGATCAAAGCTGCGACCAGCGGCCTGACCAGCTCAGTGTTTGCTGATCCTGTCATCAGGTTCGACTAAATGTTTGTAGACATGTCAGAAATATTTATAATCGTGAAGCACTAGACTATAATGTGTATTTCTCTGTAGTAAATTCATCAACATGATCATGAAAAATGGAGACAAGATTTTGGCCAGAGAAATTTTGACCAATGTAAGTAAAGCAGACCAGTGTCTGAAACTCTTGCTTGGCCGTCAGGATGCATAACTTTATGTTATCTGACAGACTTTAGAGAATATTAAGAGGAAACAAGTGGAGAAGTATCACAAAGCTCCAGTGGGGAAAAAGGAAGAGATTGAGTGCAACCCTTACACCGTCTTCCACCAGGCGCTGGAGAACTGTAAGCCTGTGGTGGGCCTGGCCAGCATACAGAAAGGTGGAAAATTCTACCAGGTCAGTAACAGTGTGTAGATGTACATAGACATGTACATATAGAGATCTGAGCTAACTTTAACTTCTTGACTTTTTTAAAAAGACAATACAGTAAAGTGTATTTGCCTTGTTGACACGTTTTGGCTGAAAGCTGCAAACTATCTTGAGAACTGTCACCGTTGTTGGTGGTGACATGCCGTATATCAGTTGTTGTTACTTCCTGTAGGTGTGGTCATCCTGACTGACCTGGCAGGTCGCTCAGACTGACCACGCCTCTCGTCTCCCTGTGGTCTCTGGAGGAGGGTGTCCCAGGTGTGTGAAAGGAAGAACGTGCCGTTATCACGGTTCATGCTGTCCGTGCCTCGTTTCCTGAGTTCAGTGGCCTCCCTGATCCAGTGTTTGAACTTGTTTTTCTCTGATCCAGTGACCCATGCCCTGTCTGAATCCATAAAGTGGTTATTTCTTTTATTTCTTTTTAGCAGCCAAAACATGTCACAAGGTGAATACACTTTACTGTTTTGTCTTAAAAAAGAAAGGATCCAAGAAGTTAGAGTACATAAGAAGACAAAATGAACATTTATGGTTTGAGCTAACTTTTTGTTCTGAACCACTCAGGTGCCTGTACCCCTCACTGACAACAGGCGGCGCTTCCTTGCCATGAAGTGGATGATAAATGAATGCAGAGACAACAAGCACAGGCGCACGCACATGTATGAAAAACTTTCACAAGAACTGTTGGCTGCATACACCAAAGAAGGAAATGTTATAAAGAAGAAATATGAACTACACAAAATGGCAGAGTCAAACCGAGCATATGCCCACTATCGCTGGTGGTGAAGTGTTCAATAACAGAGGAGCTTATCAACTTGTAAATACAGTATTTAAAATAAATCAATTGTAATACTTTCTAAGAGTTGATGCACATATGGGTCTTTATAATTGCTGCTCTAGACACAGAGATAACAGGCATACATTGTACAAATACAGGAAAAGAATGGTGGTCACCTCTCAAGGACTGAAGGCAGTTGTGGAACACTTTTGTGTGCTTGCATTTTTGTAGTCAGACAATCAACTAAAACTAATAACTGGAGGCAGATGTGCTAAAAAGTGCAAATATCAGTTTATCTCTACAAAGTACACAAAAAAAATGGGAAAAAATAGATTTATTAGAAACAAAGATAATATACACAACCAAAGCATTGATAAAAATCGCACATTTTCATAAATACAACTTGTAAACTTACAACATAGCCACCACTGGAGTCCTACTTAAAAATGCCTGGAGGAAAGCTTTATACTTTTTGTGTATCAAATTGAAGATTCTCTACATTAGACTGATTGTCAAAATAGACAAATAAAACTATAGTATTTATTGGCAAGTCTATTTTTTGGTCGAATCAACAATTACCAATACCATTTTAAGCACTGCAAAATTAAGGTAGCCAAACATAAAATATACAAAAGTTTTTTTTCTGCAGTTAATTATAGAGCCACCTTCTAGAAACTAGCTATGTTCATTCTCCTATACCTCTTGTGTTATGCATTATGTATGCAAATTTTTATAACAGCAGCAAATCAATTCTGGTAATAATTGAATGGTACTGATTACAGAATAAATAAAAATACATGTTAATCAGAACTGAACTATGCAAAAAGACAGAAATCTAATGTAAATGTTCTAACCAATTTTAATATTACTACATAAAATTAATTCTTTGTAAAGAAATTTGTTCACTGCAATCAAAATTTAAAGCTTAACTATAAAAGTAAACAGTATCTGTAGGAAAAATCTGTTCACTCCTTCCAGATCCAGAGCACCATGTTTTGGTTAAAAAATTAAAAACTAGAAAAACTATTGGTCCTAATACAGATCAAACTAAACAGTATCCTTTGAAACACTTCCTTGAACGTGTTGGCTGGTGAATATCATTGGTCTTACAATCTTTAGCCAGGTCAAAGTTTTACAGATGTTGGAAAACAAGTCCTTCAGCCACGTCAGATTTCACTGTAGTAGTATTTATGAGCGGTACTACTGAGCAACCAGCCTCCAGCTCTGAACTCCAGAATCTCCAATAGCAACAGGCGGGCCATGGATGTGAGCCCCTCTTGGAGCAGAAACCCATCACGCAGCAGGTAAAACAGCTCATCCATGCGCTGACTGTTCATTTTCTCCAACTGTTCTCCAATTCGGTGTAGTTGAAGAACCAGGCAATCGACCTAGACAAAAAGTCAACATTGAAATACATAATGCCATGAAAGATATTGAGTCATAAGGGGTATTAGGGGTACATTTCATGTCCACTTGTATTTACCAAATGCACATGTATTTCCTCAAAGCAATGAGTTTTTACATTGAACCATCAAACGCTCTTTCTACAAAATTAGGGAAACTGATAACATTTATTTTTGCAGAATCATTTTATAGATTATAAATTCACATTTAAAAATTTCACCTAATTTTTCAACCCTAAAATCCATATGAGTAGACAATTGTGACTTATATAACAATCAAAATGTTAGGAAAAAAAGATTTAAATGTTTTCAAACTTTTGTGCCCATTACTTGTATACTGGATACGTTCAAATGTGCTTGTCCAAAAAACATTTGTCAAGTGGGTAACGCCTTGGGTAATCCTTTCTAAAACTGCAATGGTTCACTCTATAGTCACAAACTCAACAATAAAACCTCAGTATTTCTGGAGTGATTTTTGAATAGAGACTGCTCAGGTTTAACCCACTTCTTTGAAAGAATCATCCTGCTTTATAGTGTACTGGTCTAGCTGTGATGTTTGAATGGCAGAAGAACATTTAAAAGAGACCAAAGGAACATATTACCTCTGCCTCATTTGTCAGAGCATCAGGCTGGGCCAACCTCATCAGGCAATCATACACTGGATGCACCAGGGCCACCATTGGCATATTGTTTACCTAAAGGAAAATGCACAGTGAAAGACATTAATCAACCAAATGACAAAATCACCATGGTGATGTGCTCTTTTGCTTACTTTGAGGTAGTCAAATATGTTGCAGATGAAAGTGACATAGCACACCCATTCTTGAACTGAGCGCTTTCTTGTTTCTTCTCTATCCTTGAACTCTTGTTGGAGTCGATTCAAAAGATTCCTCCGAAAATTCCCATTGTTCTGCTTTGACTCTGCCTATATAAAACACAACTAATTGAAACATTTTGCAGACTATGTTGTTGTTTGTAATATGGACAAAATTGCCACATCTCTAAAATAAAACACAAACCTGGACTATAGTGTAACAGATGCGTCCTGCTTCTTTGCTAAAGACCTGATCCTTCATAGACTGGTCCACAATAATATTTGCTACTTTTTCAAGGTTGACAGAACTGGGATCTGAAAAGCAGAAACACACAGGTAGCAGCATACAAGAAAAATAATATACATGGGTAACTGTTAATATTTTTAAATGGAATTACCTTTTAGGGCTGTTTTTAGTAACATCTGTGTATCCAAATCAAATGACTGGATCTTGTATTCCTCAGTGGGGTTCTCCATTATACCAACCTAAACCAAACCGGTTGAATGTAACTTGATACAACATAATAGACATGACACACCTGTTATTGGCTATGATTTTCGCAATTCTCCTTTTCAAATTGGTTACCAAGTGATCACAACTCACAAAAGTGTTTTTTTTGTTTTGTTTTTGTGGTAATAGTAGTATGACAGTAAGCTAGCGTGTTCGATAAGCATAGACCCTGGAGGCTGGGAGGAAACTGTATACAGTGTTTAAGTAAACGCCCATCCAGTTCACCTTATATTTAAAAACATTTACGATTACTTTACGAGCACAAACTACAAAATGTTAGCCACCATAAGTCGATAACTTTATCTTAAAGTTAACGCGGTCCATGCTAAAACAATGAGATACATGCACGATACATAACATTATAGAAATTGAGAAGTTAATACGCCTAATATGTACCTGTTTAGAGAACACGGTGCACTAAATAGTCATTGAAGTGGGTTTTATTATAATCCTCTTCAGGCAAAAGTGTTTAGAGCCCGTGAATGATGCAGGAGAGACGGACGCCTTCGTCGACGGTGTTGAAACACTCAGTGTAACAAAGTGACTCTAGAGCGCCCTCTCGTGGAAAAACTACAGAAACATGAGAGAAAGTGACCACCTCAAACAGAACAAACAGGTTGTTGGTGGGACATGGAGAGACATGGATAGTAAAGTCTATAACACCAGGTGATTTAAAGTTCGTAATGAAAAAAGAGAGTGTTATAAAACAGGTGCCAACATATTACAACCATTTCTGCGAGAAAGAATCAAAGATATTATCATGTATGCAAATCTCACTTTTTATTATTACTGTAGCATCAGTGATGAAGTGAGACATTTTCTAAATAAGTGAGACAAGAGACAACCAGAGGGACAGGCGGTCACCCTAAATCAGTGTGGATAAGAGAAAAGTAGTAAAATAAACTTATAAATGTATCCAGTAATGATAAAAAATCAAGAATGAATGTTTTAACGAAATAAATACTGACTGTATGTAATATTGACTAATTATCTAAATAGATCTACTGTTAGTTTTTACGAAGATAGTGCCCTCTTGTGGTCCTTGTTTGTTACAACAAAAACAAATGAAGACCTCTGGACATAGCTCTGGTCAAAATCAAATCACTTGTCATAAATAATTAGCGTTTCGCCGTTGTTGGGAGAAGAGCAAAAGCGAAAAAGAAAATATCAAGTGTAGAAAATAGTCATTGAGAAAACGAGACTGTGTGAACCGGAAGTTATCGGAGAAGCCGACGGGTGTGTGAGGTTATGTTGCTGCTGAACATGCTGGCCACACTCTGCTGTTGTTTTCAATGACAAGGGCACTGATCATAAGGCAAGTAAAGATTTAGATTCGTATAACCTTAACCAGTACAGAGTCAAATAAAATAAAGTGTTAGATACTAGTTGTAGTGCTGATGTTTATTTTGTTTGCTTAGCTTAGCATGTCCTCTGTGTCATTTTACGTACAACTCGTCAATTTGTCAATTTCAAGTGTATACTGACACTCGACATTTTCATCTTTAGCGACTCTTGCTAAGGCAGAGCCAGTGACATGGTGGGTTATGATCCTCGTGCTAAGGATGCACCTCTGTCCCCAGAGGAGGCTGCCTTGGCTGGGTCAGCTGCCGGCATGGTTACACGAGCTCTTATCAGTCCCTTTGATGTAATTAAAATACGGTTCCAGGTACTGATGCTTTTACAGTGGGTCTAATGGTATGCAGTATTCAAATAATGGTCTATTTATAAACCGCTACATTGTTTGTTGATGTTCTAGCTCCAGATTGAACGAGTGTCATCACAGAAACCTGAGGGCAAGTACAGTGGAATATTTCAGGCCTGTCGCTGCATTTATAAAGAAGAAGGCCTGTCTGCATTTTGGAAAGGGCACATCCCTGCACAGCTTCTGTCTGTTGCGTTTGGGGCTGTACAGGTATCATTCTGTTACACATGTAAATTAAACAGAAGCTAAATCATGCCATGTCTACAAATAACTGTGTGCTGCACAGTTTGCAAGTTTTGAGTTTCTGACGGAGGTGGTCCACAAGACAACATCATATGACAGTCAAACAGCAGGAGTGCACTTTGTGTGTGGAGGCCTGGCTGCCTGCTCTGCCACAGTCTTCTGTCAACCTCTTGACACTTTACGAACTCGATTTGCAGCTCAAGGAGAACCTAAGGTAGGTATATAAAATGCCCATCACGTAACATATTTATGTTTTAACACAATCATTTTCAGATTTACATGAATCTCCGACATGCTGTATTTACAATGTGGCGCTCTGAAGGGGCTCTGACATTTTACCGGGGCCTGTCTCCAACACTCATGGCTGTGTTTCCATATGCTGGTCTGCAGTTCTTTTTCTACAATGTCTTTAAAAAGATGTTAGCTCCTGCCCCTAATGCCAAAAACTCTGGAGGTCAGTGGAGGTTCAGCTCAAACATACAGTATATGGTATAACTTGCACTTTCATGAGATTTAAATGCCATGTGTGTGTATGTATATGTGTTGTTCAGGAAACCTGCAAAGCCTTTTGTCTGGGAGTGGAGCTGGAATGATCAGTAAAACTATCACATACCCCTTTGATCTTTTCAAGAAGAGACTGCAGGTGGGAGGCTTTGAGGAGGCTCGCCTTCGCTTTGGAGAGGTGAGCTATTCTCATTTGAACACTACTTTTTATGCCCTGAAGCTATAGTAAATAATTTGTATTACTTGTGAGCAGGTGCGCACTTATAAAGGCCTGCTGGACTGTACGTCCCAAATTGCCAAAGAAGAAGGCCTCCGAGGATTTTTTAAAGGCCTCTCACCCAGCCTTTTGAAGGCTGCACTATCAACTGGCTTCACCTTTTTTTGGTATGAATTTTTCCTCGATCTAATGCGTGACCTTAAAGAAAGACGGATAAATAGGATCCCCCAAGATCCAAAGCAAAGATAGTCTTGAAAAATGGCAAAATCACACACACAGTAGAGACTTTCTCTATTCCTTGGACACACTTGAGACTTTTTATATACATTATATTGACATCATTATGTTTACATGTAACACTTGGAGAGGATAATGTTATATTTATTTTGTCCTGACACATATAATGTATTTTACTAAGGTTTTATTATTTATATTTCATGCTATGGTTTGTTCTGTTTTTTTTTGTTTGTTTTTTTTTTTTCTTTTTTTTTAACGGGAACTTCTTTTAACTCCAAAATGTTCTTCCTCATTTAACTTTGTCCAACATTGCTATATTTGACTTTGTTTTGTTAATAAACTCACAAATGAAAGTTGTAATTTTCATATTGCTTAAGTGACACACACAAGTCAGATACCTTAAATATGAATTCATGTGCAGTTTCTTACTATGTTTCAGTACTTTCAGTACATTTATGGAAAAGTACAATGAAAAAAAAACACACATAATGAGATGGATCAAATAAAATATATTTAAATAAAATAGCATAGTTAATTCTGCCAACTAACATTTGAGACAGTAGCATTTACCTTTATTTCAGTTTGATGACAATTTACATAACATACAGTATTTACATAAACATAAGATGACACGTGCTGAGAGCATTGGAAGATACTAGTGACATGGAAGTGACTGAGCACAATCTAAGTAAAGCTCACCAGAACAGAGAAGATTATTTCACATGCACTGAAGCCCAAGCCATGCAGCTATTCTAGTCATTTATACAGTACAGACATTGGTCAAAACATTCAAAACACAAGGGGACAGCATTACCGCAATAAGTTACTAATATATCTCACAACTGCCTACATACTGTTTATTTACACCAATACACTAACCTCACAGCTCACTTCCAAACTCTACTCAACATACACTATATATACCATTTATTTAAATAGATAGATCAGATAAAGGATAAGATAAATGTGTGGAACTAGTAGGAATGTAAACTATTGTTGAATTTATGCAGCAAAAACTCTCTGATGATTTCTGTGGAAGAACCTCTCCTCTATAGGTTGCGTGCCTCATCAGCTTTCAGACAGCAGTATCTGGCATGTATCAGCGTCACCGGCATGTCTTCTGGAGCGCGGGGGGAGCTAGGATCACCAGGGCAGTGAAAAGTCTGCTTCACCGGAGCTGGCAGAGGGGCGTTTAGGAGATGTGCTGTGCAGTCATCCTCCTCTGATCCACGGGACATTTAGAGATACAACACTGGCTTGGTCACCCGCCTGTTCTCATTCGGGCTGTGGACTGGAATTCCACGAGAAAAAACTGGGTAGCTTAAAAAGGGAGTCCCGCCGTCCTGGATCAGGCAGGGTCAAAGTCTCAGGTGCTGACTTCTTCCTGGGTCGCTCTTTGGGGACAGAGAGGAAATCGGGTGCTTCGGTGGTGAGGGGTGTGGAGGGAGCGCTGTTGGGACCATTGCGGGAGTTCATTGGTAATGGGGTCTCGGTAATGGAGATGGCTGGAGGGAATGAGCCAATTTTTTGGTTTGTGGCTTCTTGTGTGGCTCGTTCATACTCACGGACCTCTTCCATGGTCATATCTGTTAGACATTACGTATACAATATCAGATCATTTTAATAAACTAATTAATTATAACTGTGCATGCATGTAAATGTTTCTCAATTTGTCCTTCAAGTGATTTATGTTAATATGTTGATTTATGTCAACATATTATTCAGACACAAATCTGCAAATATAATAAATAATACATATAATTAAACAGCAGCCTTTGAAAGGGCAGGACAAAAATCCATCAAGTCAGAATAAATAGAACTTTATCAAACCAAAACTGCTGACATCAGATCATTTACAAAGTTTCTGGTTGGTACTATGATGAAAAAGAGGTGGATCAATATCTTGTAAATAACACATGACATGTTATTTTCTATAAAAAAAATACTGAAATACTGATTAGGACTCACCTATCCACTCATCAATCCAGGCGAAGGCTTGCCTGTGTCCTAACAGCAACACATCTCGAATCACCTGGGGACATAAAACACAGTAATATACTTAAAACAATGAATGAAGCACAAGCTCATACATTAAAAAAAGATGGGATAAGAATTATGCTTGGTAAAACTGCTATCAGCTCATAAATGCTTCTTTGATCACCATTAGGGAGATGTGATTAATATGAGTCATGCTTAGATTCTGAGTGAGTAATAACTTGGCATGTGTGGATGGGCTCTAGGCAAAACAAACAGGGGCAGTCAACACCCGGGACAGATGCTGTGAAGGAGATAAGATTTTGGAAATGAGAAAAATGTGCTACTACAGTGTAAGTACATGGAGCAGTTTGAACCAAGCAGATGGAGCTGAAACTTTCTTGCTGACCTTGTGTACAAACTGTTCCACCCGAGTTTGTAATCCCCACACTTCAAACTTGACCGTGACGAGTTTGTAGGAACACATGATGGGGTCCTGGGTGTCCATCCATCCCTCTGGAAGCAAACCGCGCTCAGTCTTTTTGGACTTGAAATAACGCAGATCCTAAAATAAGAAAAGAAAGTTTTACATTTCCCAAAAGAAACAAATATACTTAAATGACAGCAATTAAGTAGAACACATTTTTGCTATGTTTTAAGAACTGCACATTTAATTTAGCCAGTGATTTTTGCGTTATTGTGCTTTAATACAGTCTTTGCTCTTAATAAACAGTATAGGTTTCATTTCATTTCACTTAATTCTTTGTTGTAAAAGGGAAACTGCAAGTCATTTAAGTTCAGATTTTTTGGGTACACTCACTTTCTACTCCAGTTCGCAACCTTTCAGTGAATTTTAGTGTGTATCCATGAAAAATAAAAGTCATATGCTGCAATAACCACTCTAAGAAGACTAATTATGTCTTCAGCCTCATTTGTCTTATTGTCATCCGCCTTGTGTCAGAGGGAGATGGACATCCTGCTGTGCATACACTCTGGCACAGGAGGTGAATGTGGACTGATAGGACTGGGACCGTCTGCGATGCTGTCAGAGGGGGATCAGAGGTGGCAAATGCTATTTCCTATTTGATCTGTGGGCATATGAGCAATTTCATGTTGTGCAGTGGAAGTGAAAGAAAGTAATTTACTATAAAATTAACATGTTTGAACTGCAGTGACACTTGTGCATTAAGAAACGAGAACCAAATATGAATACACTTGCATAATAACTAAATAGATTATAATTAAGCTTTGTAAACATCCCAAGATCCTTTGATTATATTGTTTACTCTTCTGAATAAATTATCAAAGCTTTATGTGGTTGCTCATCTGTTACAAATAAACAATTATTTCAGCTTATGCTACTTTTGACCCATAGGTTTGTTTTGCGTCTGTCTTCTCTTTAATCATGTTTCATAACTGGATAATCAACATTAAACCCATTCATTACCACATTCACATTTTACACCGTGTTCAATCTTTTTCCTATTTGTGTTTTCTATTTATATCTTTCCCCGGGGTGTTTACACATTTGCTTTTCTGTCAGTATAAATTTACATGAGCAGTTGTAGCTGAGTTGTAGCTGTGCTGTTTTCCCCTTGGCCTGTACTTCAGACTATTCTTGGCGGTGCGCGTGTATTAGCAGACCATAAAACGCCCCGCTGGGAGTTGGGCATGTGTCAATACTGCACCACCACTGCTGAGCTGTCATGACCCCTTATGACTATTAATAACTTCTCTTTTTATGACCATCTCACTCTGATAAATGGTGGCCTGCTGCTCAAATACAAACGTTCAATCATGCCTACACCTCTTGCAGTTTGTAAACAGGCTTTTTTCTCTGTCACTATCTTAGGAGACAAGCAGTGTGCTGGTGGTCACAAGCAACCTCCCAATTAATGTGCTTGTATTTGCAGAAACAATGCCTTCCCTCTTCTCCTTTTTTTTCCTTTAAAGAATTTGTTTTTACACACAAAGCCCTGGTGACCTCTGACCTCTGCCTCTTTGTAGTGGCGCTCCGGGACCTCGTCGTAAGCAATATCCACGACGCACACTTCGGTTTCCTCCTCTCTGGGCTCCCCGCCAAAGATCTGTGCAAAGGTGATGTATGAAGATGGCTTGATCAATAATGCATAGGACAGGTCGACAAATAGGAGCAGGGAGAGAGGAGACGTTTTGCCTTGACGGTAAATAAAAGAGATGGGTGAGGGTCAGAATAATACTTTTATTACACATACACTTGAATGTGTAAATGCACCTGGGAGACTAGCTCTCCTCCAAGGTCTAACTGTGTAAATATAAATGCTGAACCAAAGGCAAACACAACACATGGAGATAAGAGGGGGAGCGATGCGTTTTTCATAATGAATTAATTGAATAAATGCAACTTGAGTGTAAAAACAACCACTTGAACCGTTACTCACTTTGAAAACACCCGACTTGTTACTTACTACATACAATTGTGGCCATCTGTGGACCAACTCAAATGTGATTTTCTCAAGCTTACACTGGGGGGAGCTGTGGTTGTTTTATTTTAGGCATTGACTCAAAACAATCTTGCGTAACACTCACTGCCTGACTGTAGTATATAGCTGTAAGTACAGCAGTGATTAAATTAAACTGAAATACACTCTTATTCATGCAGTTAGTGTGAATGTCATTTACATCAATGTCATTAAATGCATACAGATGTTTTGTTGGTACATCTAATTCATGAAATATGAACATAAAAATCATATATGTGCGCATTTGACATGTGTATAGCATGGACTAAAATGAAAAATATCACTCTTGGAACAAAATGATTTGGGTAATTATGCAACTTGAACATTTTTAGCTTATTACTAGACTAAAGTCCAAGTCTGAATCTTACCAATAATACCCAAGATCTTAAACAGCTTTTTATATATTTTATGTTTTATTGCTGTGATTATAAAGCTTTATGGCAATGGTTTAATGAAAAAAAAAGAAGAAATTATTACTGCATGCATAACGAGGCACCTTTTAAACACAGAATTCACACAGGATTCCATAGGCAACCCCTTCAAAGGTGTGTTCACGCACGTATAGCTGGTAATAAAATGCTAATAAATGTAAATGGCACCTTTTTCTGTAACCCCCCGAATGCTGTGATAAGAGCAGCCAGATCGTCAAGGTGGGAAGAACAGAGACACAGAGACAGGCAGCTGTGTGAATCAAATGAACATCAGCTGCAGCAGCTCTCCTTTGACAGATTTCAACCTGTTCTCTGTCAATCCTATCACAAAGCTCCACAAAGCTCCACATAGCTCCATATAGCTCCATATAGCACCATACTCACATGGTCATTGTTGCCTTTGTTGTCTTCATACTTAGTTTCGATGTGGATGGAGAACTTGGGCAGAAAGGAGCACTGTGGAGGAGAACAAGACAGGATTAACCTCTGGTCTTAAAGTTGCTTTCTTCACTAATTGGCCATTATATTATGACTTCTTTGCATTTGTAAGTGGGTTGGATTCATAAGGCAACACACATGTTTGTCCTAAATAATAATACGCAAACCAACAAACAAAACATACAAACTGACTTCAGAACAAGTCCAAATCTTGTCAAATATAAAATCAAATTTAAAAAAGTCAAAATCTTGTCTATTATAAATTAATCTCATACAGTCTACAGTTTAAAGGTCCCATCCCATATTACACCAAACGTGACTTTTGCAAGCTTTAAGCCACGTTATGCTTGTCACCTTATCACAAACATACCTGGAGTTATGTTTTGTTTCATTCACATGTGTTTGTGTAACCCTTTATTATTAGTCTGTACGTCTCTAAAACTCAATTGTCCTGTTTCACCTTGTGATGTCATGAAACGGAGTTTTTTAGATACCTTTCAGACCTGAAATAATCCAAATGACTCTAGTGCGGTTGTCTGAAGTTTAAAAACACAGCGGAGCATTTCCTGTACAACCACATGGCATCATCAACGTGTGTGAATGAAACAAAGCACAATTCCAGGTATGTTTTTGATGAGGAAACAACATTATGACACAGATCAGAAAATAGCATAATATGAACAGAAGCCACATCATTCACATTTGTCTGCTGTGAAATTGGATTAAAACTTGTGTAATTATTAATCAGCCTACAAAGGAAAGAGGGTTACATAAGCGCTTGAGTCTGGACGTGTTAGTGTGTTAGTAGCAGCAGGAGAAATACAACAGAAGGGATCAATCTTAGCCTGCGGCACTGAGCTGTAGGGCCACTGCCAGCTCACTGGGGGTGCATAAGAGAAAGTGAAAAATACGTTTGGCTGCAGGAGAGCAGTGATAAATTCTGTCTAAAGAAGAAGTGTGCCGTGGGTTTGAACAAACTGGAACAAGGATAGCGCTAATCCCCAGCTTAATTACCAGATTGCCAGAGATTTATATCAAAATTCAGGCTAAATGTATTTGAATAGCAAAAGACGAATTCATTATTGGTTAAAATATTGTATAAATAAAAAAAATAAAAAAAACATTGACTTATACATATAGGCTTAACGTGGGGCTGTAGAGATTAAAGGAAGACTCGATTGATTAAAGACATGGCTGTGCATCGATTCATTGACTAAAAGAGAGCTGACGTGGCTCAGGAAAGAGCTTTCAAAATTAATAGGATCTAGACAATAAATACAGATAAGCGCTTGTAAACAGCATTTTCTTAAAAGGCAGGTTAAAAATGTAGATTTAACTGTCTAGTCAGTCATCCCTAAATCCCAGCTAACTCAGTCTGTGCCTGCTGTGGTTCATATAAATCCTTATAAATAATTAGTAAACAATTTTATTCAGCCATAGTTAGTAGTACAGCAAGATTAATGATGATCAAAACAAAAACGCAACTTGAATGAAGTAGAAAACTGCAAGTCCAGTTATTAAGGCAACATAATATCCTTGTTTTATTATGCATAACCCTGTAGTAAGCTTAGACCATTGCAAACATGTTTTTTGTATTAGTTTAGAGGCTCAAATGACATTTCTCTCTCTTAATGTGTTTAAAATGTGTGTGCTGAACAGAATCCTATTTAACTTTGAGTCGCAAATCTAATCACAACCAATGCTTGTCATATTTTTCTTCCAAAACTGCATTATTATTTCCCTTCTTGGTAAACAATGAATAAAAATGAACTAAAATCATGTTTGAATACTGTATGTGTGAGTGATTATGTCCAGAGACATCAGCCTTATTACACAACACATCAAGGTCATTTGAGACTATGTCGTTTATTGCTGAACTGACATTTTAACTTGTGATAATTTCAGATTTCTTTTTGTCATCCTCTTGATTTTTTAGAATGGTCATATTGATGTATGGGTGATTATATCGATACACAAATGTCAGGTCAATCACGTCAAATGCCATGATTCTTTTTTTGCAGTGATGGAAGAAGTACTTCATTTTGTTAGTTAAGTAAAAGTACAGATACCAAAGCAAAATAAATATTCAAGAAAAAGTATCACATCAAAAATCTATTTGAGTAAAGTATTTCAAGTGTAAAAATATACTTAAGAGTGAAAAGTAAAAATATAGATCATTACAGCTTACATATTCATTCTCCTTATATGACTTTGTGCCTAAATACAACATTCTGAAAAAAATGTGTAGTGTTTTGATGCTAAGCTATAGATAAAGACGCCATATTGATGACCCCTGAATGTCTTTAAAATTACCCCACATCGATGTTTTGCACATACAGTCAAAACAAATTAAAATAATTCTCCCTGAATAGCTTTGATCCTACTTCACTAAATGTTCCTGTCCACATGGGGATGAGTGGTTGGGCCGATGATTAAACTGCATTGATGTTTCCTTACCTATACCTCATGTGGGTTAATGGTCTCCTGATGTCCTGCAGAGAATCATTAGTGCCTGTTCTCAGCAATACTCAATTAGCCAGTTTTAGCCACAAGCTAAGCACAAGGGATTTTGAGTCTGTATTGACATGTGGTGTTTGACTGGGGCATAATTGTGCCGAAGCAGCTCTATAACCACAAAGCCAAGACAAACAAAGGATTATTGTATATTTGCAATGATATGAAGACTATAGAGGTCAGCTTATTGGGGGTTGTCAAAGGTCATTGCACATCTCATATATTCAAACCAAAATATAAGGTAAAAAATGAAATAAAAAGACTAGAGTACAGCTTCTTCTTCTTGTGGCTTGTATTAAAGTGCTAAGAGCCTCTTGTCTCCTCTCCAATGCCGTGTCTTAACATAACATGGACTTTTAAATTCATATTGTCTTAACACTGCCAATACCATTTAGCCTATCTAAAATGTACCAATATTGGCTTTTTCTGTTATTAAATGAGTTTAGTAAGTGAAAGAAAAACAAAGAATAACAGATTAACCTTTTTACATGTTAGCAGTGTTACAATTGTTATTTTTGTAAGTATGTAGTGGCTGTGTGAAAGTATGTACTAGTAGAATGGATAATCTACTAAGTTTTAAATAAACATTAAAATTTTTTTTTACTCAATTCTCTCTTATCGACAATATCACTGCTGAAGTGTACAATAGAGCATTACTTGTGTGTGTGTGTGTGTGTGTGTGTGTGTATGTGTGCGTGTGTGTGTGTGTGTGTGTGTGGGTGTGTATGTGTGGGTGTGCGTGTGTTTGTGTGTGTGTTTGTATGAGTGCATAGTACTACTCACTGTGTACTCTGAGCACATTGACAGCAGATGTCATTAGAGGTAATCAAGATGCCATGGACCACGATCACAGACATGAAAGAAAAGAAGGATGAAAAATTATTAGTTTGGAATCAAAGTGATGAAGATTGCATTTCAAAACCAGCCTGGACACTGGACACATGCACCATCTAAAAGCACAGAGCAGTAAAGGCAGCACTTAGAAGTACACTTGCTAAAAGCACCAAGGACATTTCTTTGCATTTATAAATGAGGAAGGAAAAGGAATGATGTTTAGCATATTCCTAAAATGTGACATTATTTGCACCGTCATTATCATAGGATTATCACTGCAAAAAACTCAAAAATAAAATAGGACTGAATAAAATTTCAGTAGAGGTTGATTCAGTCATTTCTAACAATCAGTGATATGCTTGGTGCTTTTTAACTGAGAGCTCTGCAATCATCTGCGAGTAAAAGCATGTCATTTGGAGTTCAGAATCTGGAGGAAGAAAACTGACAATTTATTGTGGTAAATGGCTATGATTAAAACCAATCTTATTGATAGAAATTAATATATAACTAAAAAAAAATCTTAATAAAATATTTTGTCATATCACCCAGTTATATAATGTCACACTATAACAGTATTATGTATAGACGTGAATGAATGATTATAGACCAAAATTATGAAACCTTTTTGATTAATTGTTAGAGATTGCACCACTTAAGCACAAAATACATAAATACTGACATCACATTTCATTATTGACTGACACTGACCCTGACACTTAATATAGAACAATATATAACAATACAGAACTCATTAAAATAACTCTGATTTGTTTTTTCCTAATTTTGAGACATGATATCTTTTGAAGACCTCTAAAATGAGTCTACATCCAAGAAATACACCATTGCTTTTTGCATTAGATAGTGAAAACAGCAATAAGACTGCATTATCTTTCTCATTCTGTAAAGCATTTTGAATTACTTTTTTTTTTTACAAACTGTGCTCTACAAGCAAACTTGATACATTCGCTTAAGGTCCAAATGTTTCCTACATGTTTGAATTCACTATATCTTTTTAAACTGTCCCTTGGCTGGTCTTATTGGCTTTCTCTCGAGTATGCACACAGCTCACTTAACACAATACCAGCCACAATATTGGTTCCATGCCCCTTTGCCCCATCAGTGACCCAAAACAACTACCAGAAGATGAACAGAAAGTGTACCATGTTTGCAGGCATGTAGTACAGATGTATGGGCCCTGCGTACAAATCATCTTGTTGGGCTCATATTACAAGTTCTCTATATGAAAATAGCATTACTGGTTTTGTGAAGGGCCCCTCCCCTGGTCTGGGCTTTGGGCAAACAGTACCCTTTAGCCCACAAGTCCGTTACCCTTGCTCCCTGTTTGAAGCCACAGGCAGACACAAAGTAACTTTGCACTCAGATCAGAAACAGTTACCTGTAATCGTGTATGGATAATAATTCCAAGCCTTTTCAGTGACATAGAAAATCCGGGGGACGACAGCTCTGGCCCAACTCGGCAACTTACTGAAAAAAGAAGAAAATTTAATTGGATCTTTATATAACAAGTTTTATTACATATGTCTCAGAATGGTAATCGACAAGAATCTAAGGGCTTAACAATAGTCTTACGTGTGGCAGCGATGACCCCTTGGGAAGCTGATTTTATGATTATACATTGCTAGTAGCTACAGTCTAGACACTATTGTACAGAGTAGAAAAGCGGGACACAGGACAGGAGGCACGATCAGCAAATTGTATTTAAATGCCCACTATAGGTGCTGGACATTGAAATGCAAATAACTGGGAGCAGCGGGGGTGAAATCTGGGTGAAGTAAAATATGTAAAAATGGACAATGCACAATAGAAGTCTTGATTAGTAAGAGCTGCTGATGAGAATTAAACTGCCAAAAAAACACAAAAACATGATTACAATTGTGCTGTAAAATTAGCAATCTAACTTATATGGCTGAGCAAAAACTGAATCATGATCTAGTCCTTGTGACAATCTACTATTTCTACTATCACCAAAATAGCAAAACATAGACTGCCTAAAGGTCCTATATTACGCAAAACTGACTCTTGTGACCATTAAGCCATGTTATAATGTTACCTCAAAAGCATACCTGGAGATGTTTCATTCACAGCTGTTTCAGTAATCCTTTATTATTACTCTGTCTACATCTCCAAAGCTCAAAATGCTCTGTTCCAACTTGTGATGTCATGAAGCCGTAGTTTTCAAGTTAATGGCTACATTTTACCTTTAGTTCAGTAGAGGAAATTCCTGGTATGAAACCATTGTTCTAAATTATTCTAGTAAAGGTGTATGGAGCTTAAAAACACAGTAGAGCACTTCCTGTATTACTACATAACATCACAAGAAAACATTAGAAACAACATTAGAAAATAGCAAATATTTAATACTTTAAAGACAAATACTTTCATTCACACTTTTCCCTCAAATTTGTACAGTTTGTTATGTAAAGGTCTGTGTGAGTGACAGCTGCTTTTAGCCAATCATGGTCAAAAGTGGATCATGATAGAAATCTAAATTATAATCTGGCTTTGTGATATTAATTTTTGACCATGTTGCCTACATCTTCTCTTACTGTCTTTTGCTGGAGAGCCTTCTGTTCATCATACAGGAAGACAGCATCTAGCTACATGGTAACAGGTGGCGTGTATCAGACCTCACAGGCTAAATTAATAGTGTAATTAACCTCATCTTTCACTACCCACACATGAACACACATGCTAGCATCACCAGCAGCCAACTTTCCAACAGAGCTTGGCTCAGAGCCCTTTGCATTTCCCACAATGGTACTAGCCGTGTTGCCCTTTTCATTTTCCACTTGACACATTAAAAATATTGCGCCATTCAAATTGTGTATTTACTTAATAGTTTTTTGGTTGTCCTAGCCTGTAAAACTATTCAAACTGCTCTATAAGGCTTCTATTATAAAAATCAATACTTCCAAATTGAATAGCTTTGTTGTGCTGTTTTGGCTTTTGCAACTAAATGGTCTGTTGTCCCCACCAAATATTACCAGGAATAATATCAAAAGTGTATTCTTTGAAACTCAGCTTTGAAACTTAATAAATCAGTGTGAGATAGGTAATCCAATCTACAAAATTATGCATTTATATGGCACAGTTTTCTTGGCGAAACAAATTTACTAATGGCAGCATGAACCTCGTATATCAGGCCAGCTTTATTAAGAGAGCAGTAAATTCAATCTTTGTGCTCTGCTGAAAATACAATACTCATTTTATACTTATCAAGTTCAGAAGATTTACTTTGTCTATTCCATTTATCAGTCAGTTTGCTTTCACATTTGATGAAATAGCTGAAAAGCTCTGGCAGATAGAAGTAGTAAAAAGTCTGTGCTTATGATGAGTGGAGTGGTGCACTAGTATGTAATTTTCCTTTTTCAAGTGCACACCCTACTTGTGAATCTACTTGAATGGAATGTTGCATTTGATGCATTTATTTATTTACAGATGTTTTTATTGCTCAAAAATACCTTGAAAAACCTAACCCTGTGCAGCAAGATGGAATCTTGTGATATCTGAGTTCCAGTGTTGTGCATGAACTAGTTCAAAAGAACGCGTTCATTGAACACGTTCATTTTTCAGTGAACTTTGAACTGAACGCAACACTTTTGTAAATCAAGAACTTGAACGTGAATTTGTTCAAATTATGTGTGATGAACGACGTGCGTCACTGTTGGGGTTCAGTTAAACGTAGGAATTTGACGAGTGACGATCTGCTCGCACTTCACCTCGCGAAACCACAGCCGCGTGTCAACGCGAAGGCGACTCCACCGGCAGCTTTAGCGGAACGTACGGGCTCTTGTGTCTCTCAATGGGAAAGTCAATCAAACTTGACTGGGCGCGTTTAGCTGCTTGTATTTACCTTCTGTACAGGCTGACCACGGCAAACGCAAGGATTTCAAAAGTAAATTTCAAAGCACTAACTTTAACAGTCTATGTGGATCTGGGCTCTTTCACATGATACACAACTGCCCAGGGAGCACAATGTGCTGATGGTAAATGCACAAATACAACAATAGATACATGCTCTGTGTATTTTGACGGGGATACGCGCCTACGCTCGTGTAGAGCGTCAAAAAATAGGATGGATCCTATTTTCTGAAATCTACACGCACAGGACGTGCTGCTCCGCGCGCGTATTATTTTACTTGGTACATATGTCAGTAACGCGCGTCACAATGCCTTTTTAACCTGGATTGAAATGGTGGGTTTTTCGTTTTTCTTCATACAAATTTGCTAAAATCACCGCGATATCAGCAGCGGTGAAACACCGGAGGTGCGCCCGCGTAGACCGTGATCCTGAGCGAAAGGACCGACGCACAAGTCCGCGCTCCACCGAGATAAACGCAGCTGACGCCCGATCGCACTCGGGGTTCTCTCAGAGACGGTCCTAGATTCCAAGTTCAGGATTCAAAGTTCAGGACCAAACCAGGACTAATCCTGGTTTAGTCTTGGTTTAGTCCTGGTTTAGTCCTGTTTCAGTTTTGGTTTAGACCTGGTTTAGTCCTGGTTCAGTTCTGGTTTAGTCCTGGTTCAGTCCTGGTTCAATCCTGGTTTAGACCTGGTTCAATTCTGGTTCAGTCCTGGTTTAGTCTTGGTTTATTCCTGGTTTAGACCTGGTTCAATTCTGGTTCAGTCCTGGTTTAGTCTTGGTTTATTCCTGGTTTAGACCTGGTTCAGTCCTGGTTCAGTCCTGGTTCAGTCCTGGTTTAGACCTGGTTCAGTCCTGGTTCAGTCCTGGTTTAGTCCTGGTTTAGTCCTGGTTTAGTCCTGGTTTAGACCTGGTTTAGTCCTGGTTTAGTCCTGGTTTAGACCTGGTTTGGACCTGGTTCAGTTCTGTTTTAGTCCTGGTTTAGACCTGGTTCAGTCCATATACGGCGCAAAAGTTCAGCATCTTAACAGTTCTTTTGGTGAGAGTAAATTAAAAGTGCTGCAATAGTCGTGTAATGTTTTACATTTTAAATACAGTAATATTGTAATGTAACAAATGACTTTGAAATGACAGTAACAAGTCATAAATAACACATCACAGTTTTAAAGTCACTTGTCCAACAGTGTATTTTGTAAAGTTGTTGTAAACTAGAAGTCAGTTTGAAAAATAAATGCAGCCTTTCATTTACAGATCTCATCTAAATATAAAATGAACTGAACTTTGAACTAGTTCAAAATTAAAATTGTGAACTATGAACGTGAACTATTCACTTTGAACAAGTGTGAACTGAACTTTGAACTAGTTCATGAAAAGTGTGAACTTGCACAACACTGCTGAGTTCTCAAACCCACAAAAATCAGTCTGAAGATACTCCTGCTGTAATGTACATCAGAGCCTATTTTACTGAAAATATGCACTATTTTGTTTGTGAAAAATGTGCAGAAAGTAAGTGCTTTGTGCAGTTGTGGACAGGGAAGATGTCTGTGCTTTTCTCTCAATTGAATTTAACAAAAATCTGAGTTTTTTGGCTTGTCCCACTATTGTAGCACTTCGACCAATCAGATTCAAATATTCATCATGACGTTTCACTTTTTCACAATTGTTTTCAGTGAAAGTCATTCAAGATTTATACATGTGAAGAACTCTATTCAGAGTGCCACACATATCAATCTGGTATGAGCCTGTTTATGAAAAACATGCTTTTTTACAGATCTGACCTCCAACTTAGAATGGTTGTGTCACCTGCTTTTCCCTATAGGAAAGTTTAAAGCCATAATGTGGAACATTCAAGCAAAGTCGTAATATTTTGAATGAAAAAAAGCAGGAGATGGACACTACAAATACATACAGCACCTTTAAGCATAGTACAGGTCTATAGTTGTCCAACACAAGTACACTTGTTAAATTATTAAAATTAAATAAATATATAAACAAGTAAAACAAAACAAAAAAAAACAAACAAAAAAACTGCTCACTTGTTGAGGTAGATTCGTTTCTCTGTGAACTGGCCTTCCCCATGCTCTGGATCTTGATAGGGTTCATTCTGGACGACCTCAACGCCCTCCCCGCGCTCGCTCTGCTCATGGCTGTGTTTGCTGATCATATACAGCTGTCCCACGCGGTACTGAAACACAGGACCACACCACACACTAAATGAGTTTGAATTGTCTGATGGCATTATTTAAGACAATCGAGGAGACAGAGTGAGGTCACCGTGCCATGATGCACATGACATTTCAGCATTGAACGGTCACAGTGCAGTCCAATACATAATGCAAGAGCAACAGTACCGGTAGTTCTGTTACCCCACTACCCCCTTACTCTACAGGTAATGCACACTGATGTCCCTGAGCAAGGCACACATTCAATGTTGCCCTCTGCTGATGTCTTGTTGGTGGAGGGAAGAGCTGCAGAAAGACCAAGAGAGTATGCTCTGGCTACTGCTAAAGTAGTGAAACAGTAAAACAGTACATGGAGCACCAATACCACTAATGTTTGTCCTAATAGGGAAAAGCTTGTGCCAGAATCAAAATGAATATTGATCATTTGCTGTTGCGATCAGCCGGTCAACTTAACATCAAAGCTGGAACAATATGTACCAGGATGAACACTATGCTATATGGTAACTGTAAAAATAAACATGAAGGGAAAATACCAGGATTAGCGTTTTCACTGTGGGGGAATTAAAGGCTGTCTGCAGCATAGTGACAAAGACCTCATGCCAGCCTGGTCCACAATAGAAACATGAATGCCACCAGTGAGTTAAGTGACCTGCTGCTGTGGCCTCTTGTGACATATCAATCAACACCCCATGATCCTTTGCTTCGGCGTGGCCTGACACACTTGGCCCAGTGGTGCTGTTACTTTGGGGGTGGCTCGGAAAGACAGTCACATGGCAACTATTTCGAATGCATTCGGAAAATGACATAGCATGAGAGCAGAGATTTCTGAGTGTTTGTAGGCCTATTTCCGTGCCACTGAAACTGATACATTGACTCTTTACCAGTACAGTGGTCGTCAACAGCAGTCAGGACCACAACACAGACACATCCAGAGATAGATGTGAGGCCAGTGGAAAAATGTCTGTGCAGTGCAGAGTAGAAATATTTACAGTTATACTTATGTATCATGTGTCTAAAGTGGTTTAAATGTGCTGTCTGTTCAAGCAAGGTTACAAGGCAGCTACCTGCTGCTCTGCCTGGAGATGTTGATATTGCAGTGATTAAGCAAAGTAGAGGCTGAAAGTAAGGCCGCCATCACCTCCTCAAGGGCCCCACAATCAGTAAAATATAATGGATTTAATGTGTGTTATTTTGTACAGAAAAAAAAAAACGGGCCCCGAGACCAAAAAGGTTGTATTGCTTTGTCTATGTGGAATGTTCCACAGTATGACATTTAATGTATCTATAATAAAAGTAATGCACTTTACAAGCTCTCTCATGGAGCTACACTGTAGTTATTATTCATTCACCACTAATTACACACACACATCACTTTCATACTAGGCAAGAGTGGCAAAGTGCATTGCCCAATCCAGTCTAACTCTATGGAGACAAATGGGTGGCAAGTTCCAAGTCAGATGTGTGGAGAGATGACGGATGTGTGTTTTTCAAGGTATTTCTTAATAAAAACATCTGAAGATTTAATAAATGTAACATAGATGTTTAATGCAAAAACTGTAAGTATTTGTAGTGGAGTTCTATATACTCACTGTAATCATTATAGAAAAATCTGAGACAACTAAACTAAATGCTTGATAATGACAGATAGACCCTTTCTAATACATTTTAACATGGCTGTGTTAACTGATGTAGAGTAAAAAAATAAACTAACAAAAAAAACAAAACAATATATTTTAATGAATGCAATATGTAATTAAAGTTTGAAATTAGCATTACAAATATTACATCTTTTTTGAGAATCTATTTTTACAGGCATTATCTGGTTTTCCTTAGATAGGGCATTTGATGTGACAGTGTATTTGCATTTACCAGCTTTGAACTGAATGTCTCAGTCTGTTTGTATTGTGGTCTTTGAATGCATCTCTATAATGAACATGACAACATAAGTGCTCTTAGCGTGGGTATGAAGAGCCCATGAATAATTCTTGTGATCTTTTGCTTTAATCCTCACAGCTCTAGTCAGCCGAGGTGTATGTAGTCTAGTTGAGTTATATTAAATAATATGGATTTATTAGTGATTACAGAAAACAATGAATAACAGAAAATTGAATGGAAAGGCAGACACTGATTCTGACAGAACAGCTGGGAGTAAGAAGCTGATGAGACAGAGCTGCAGCCAATAGCAAGTGTTGCTTTTTGTGCCTGTAAATCCTGCCAGGTCCCCCTCACACAGAACACAATAGCAGCCGCAGTGTTAACTAATTAACATTCAACATTGAGCACTGAAAAATCAGTTGTAAGGCATTGTCCAAGATAATGGTTTATGTTAAGATTTGAATAAGATAAACAGTATAAGCATTGTCATGGAGCGGTGGTCAAAGTTTGCCTTTCTGTTTCCTAATGGAGAAATTTCTTGTTTGAGTAGTCCATGCTGTTGAATGAATGAATGAGGTTTATTGACTGGGGTATGAAGAATTTTAATTTATATAAGGCAGACTACATCTCCTTCCAGACTTCATGAGCTCATATTGTGGTCAACTGAGGACCTCTTTGTGCTGCCCTAAAGCAGTGCCACTGCCACTTCAAACTGTGCCATTCAGATTTTGTTTTTGCTGTTGTCCTCGGACAAGGGACCTCACTTTTCCTGAATTCTATAGTGTTTTATTCTTTTCTATTGAAACCATAGCCCCAGTTGGAAAGAACACAAAGTTGCGTTTCCTGCTTCTCCTTCAGTTTGTTTGTGTGTGATCAATAATTAAAACATCCCAGTAATTATATGGGTTACAACTGTGTGTTATGAATGGACATATACAATACCTGTGACCCTACCTGAGAGAACAAGAGTGCTACATAAAGTGTCTGAGAGATACAGAGCTTTATGCACTGCTGTTTCAGCATCTTACCCTTCTCCATCCTCACGTGTGCTGTGTCTGCAAAGGTTGCTAAACCTAACATTATGTTTCACTATCACTTCCTCTGCTATGCAGCAACCACTCTCATTAATGCATTTACATTTACATACACCATTTGATTCCCTGTTTGGATAAGTCTACTTAAAATGCAACAAAATACTAATAATACTAAAAATATTGTAACTTATCAACATTATAGCAGAACTGTGCCAAGTTATTCTTATTTGAGATTTCAGGAAAAACAAAACATAATGTTGTATTCTTGTCTTCCCATAAACTATCATCAGAAATATGAAACAAATGTAGTGTAAATATGTGTGAGATGAAAACAGTTTAACAGTTGTCTTAGTGAAGTTTAATGTGATGTTTATAAAATGCATTTGATATTACACAACAATTATACAAATTTTGATTCTTCACAAGAACTCTGTTGCTTATGTAGAGAAGACAAGAGATGGTCTCTGTTATTGTGACAAAGTCGAGATGAACCCTTTTTTGTTTAGTTTAAACTTTCTTCTTCATGCTCAACTGGAACTGGTGCCAATCCTACAGGGAAATAGAAACCCCATAAACATAGATATGTATAATCCAGATTAAAGTGGTAGATCTCTTGAAAAAAAATGTAAACAAGTTTACCATGCATCACTGTACAAAGTGCAGGTGTGCGTTTTTTATGTTTGATGAATCCTGTTACCAGTGCTGTTAAACCAACAACAAGAAAAAATGTCCCAACAGCAATTTTGACTCTTTCTGACCGAGGAAGGGGTGGGTGGGGATCTAGTATTAGGAAAAAAACAGGTTTACTTTAAAATCGAGAAATATGAATTTGATAAACTAAATGTATATTATAAATTAACACCTCCTAGAGGCTTGACCCACCCCAGACCTGCACCAGGGGCTCTGGCAGGGACACATGCTCTACCATACAGGACACTTCCTCTCCAGGCCTCGGCCTGTGCTCCAGGTAAGAGTGAATCTGGTAATACAGGTCTCCACTATACAAGACATCAGTGGAGGTCACAGCTGAAGTAATCTCTTCTCCATTGAGTAACCATGTCATCTGAATCTCCTGTGGATAGAAGTTATAAGCACTGCACAAGAGCAATGCAGGGTTTCTTTGACCGGACTGCTCCACTGTAGTCAGTGTGAGGCTTGGGGTAGCAGTCCTGTTTTCTAGAACAAAAACATTTATACAGAATACAGTACTATCTACATTATAAAGTGCAGAAGGATAAACCACATAACTTACTTATGACAGGAAGAAATTCTTTGCCCTCTAAACACAAAAGTAGCTGTTCAAGTTTCCTTAGTCTGCTGTCTTCAGGATCATTATTATATAAATCAGCCCAATTACTGCTGTATGCTGTAAAGCCTATCCAATTGCCCCGTGTGCTGTTGTACTGCATAAATAAGTTTCTGTTGTATCTGTATGTTAACAGATACTCAAACAAATGTTTTTCACCATCAAGGAAAGTACAACAGGCAGACATCCGTCCAACTTCATAGTCTGAAAGACCTGCAAAAAACCTCTGATATAGCATCTTTTTTCTTTTTTTTTTTTTTTTTTGGAAATGTTTTGAAATCACTCACCAAAATTCACTGACCATGCTGTCAAATATAGGAACAAATGAAGTCTGTTAAAGGCAAAGATTGTAAGGTCCATTGTTCAAGTGGAGTTACAGAGAAGGAAATAAATTCATGCACAGTGAGTGTGTCTTATGAAGCAAGTTCACACCCCTTTTCACAGAAATATTTCAGGAGGAAGTATTGTTGTTGTTTTTTGTTTTTTTTTAAACAGACTCCAAATATTTGTAATGTTTTGTTTTATTCATTAAGATGTCAAAAACTAAATTACTTTAAACAAACAGGTAATTTGCTTTACCAAAACAAAATACATATTATGTTTTATGTCCCTTTGATTAGAAATCTGATTCACTAAACTACACTAAAACTGCAAAATACAGACATGTACAATGTGTAAGCATTTAAGCATTTTGCCGCCGAGAGTCCTTGAGAAAGAGGAATGTTCCTGATATGAATGCAGCGATTCCCAGACTGGTGCAAATTGCACAGTACACCATGGGGCCAATGTCTGTCCCACTGGAGTGAAATTCTGAAATAGGAAATAAAACACGATTATGTATATTACCACAGAAAGAAAACAAACGTGAACATTTTTTATCGTTTCACCAGTTAAACTGTCCTCTACTTACCAAAGAAACGGACCACAGGTTCCTTGAGGGTTTGATGTCTCACACTGCAGCTGTATATGTCTCCATGTGCAGGGACAAAGCTCAGCATGGAAAAGACTTGAAATGTCCCATCAGAGCCTGGGATCATCTTCTCAAAGGGGTCATCTGATGCTATCACCTCTTCATTCTTGGTCCATTGTATTTTAATAATTGGAGGAAAAAAGTTTCGAACAAAACAAATAAGAGTATTATTAATCTGGTTCTTGACATCTTCTTTGGGGTAGATCAAGACTTCAGGAGCCGCTGTAAAGAGTAAAGTTAACAATGATTTCACAATTTGAAGTGAATAGTATAGTAGTTGTTGACACATACCTGGAATCTTTGAGATGGTACTATCCTGTTTCCAGGTGTTTAAGTGAAATTTACATTGAAACTGGAAATTAATTGTGTAATTAAAAGAATAAACTGAATGATAATATGATGGAACTCGGGCATTCCACACAATGCTTTTGTTGTTGAAGTCAACATATAGTATGCGATCGCCATCAGCAGTCAATGTGAGTTGAGTAGCACCCGTGTCAAAGCATGCTACATTGTGACAAAGCTGATGAATCCCTACAAAAAAATAGTTTTTGTATTTACTGACAGCTTGGATAAAAAATAAAAGAGATAAAAAACTTACCATGTACAGATGCAAAAGTACAAAAGAGAACAAGCACAGCACAGCTAAATGCAGACATTTTGACTAACAAGAGGGAATCAGCAGTTGCTTCCTCATATTTCCTCATATCAGAGAGAAACTAAACCAGCTCTGAACAATGCTTTGGTATTCTAGTGGTTCCTTGATTAGGTTCCTGATATAGTCATGTATGTCTAAACAAATTTTAATTAAAAAAAAATACAAATTAGCCATTTGGCTGCATTGAACAAACCTATTTGTGTAATTAAGTGGTTTGTGTTTTAATTAAAGCTGTCACATCTCCAGTACATATAGTGCCTGTTGTGTGGGATCAGATCAGGCATGTCACACCTGTGAGTAGTGTGAAAATGGCACTTTATCATTAGAGACGAAACTCATCATCAGTTAGCAGTGCATGTTTCTATAGCAACCAGGGATACTTGGACCTGTGACTGTCATGCGTGTGCTATACCCTCATGTATGCTGCAGGATGCATTGTCTTATGGAGGTAAACAGTGTGTGGTGGTATAGCGCTGAGGGATTATCTCACCCTAATCAATACCTGAGTATATATAGCAATATAAATTATATGCAGTTACTTGTTGTGTGCAAAATATAATGCCTGCTCACAAAATATCCTGTCTGCATGGGTCTTGGTCTGGCAATCCTGTAATTAAGACCTCTACAGACATGTTCAGAAATGTTGCACCTGGATGTTAAAATGTGCAGTTTGTGAAAAAAAAAAAAAAAAAAAAAAAAAAAGCTTTTGGATAAGCTTCCTTTGCTTATAGAGCATGTCTGATATGAAACACAATGCCTGCTCATAGAAGAAAACTCTCAACACTGCAGCATTTCTAAAGCTTTAAAACAGTGGTTGTTGGAGGTTCAAATATGTCACCAAGTATAACAAAATGACATTTTAATATGGAGGAGATGTTGGTTTAAAATCTAACTTCAATTGTTCTTACAATTGTATGTATTGCGAGTGTGATTTTTGTGTGATTGTTTCCATGTCTGTCTGTTTGACATGACCTCCCGAAGGTCTGAAGATGGAAATTATGTATGTTGGCTATAATCTTTACAAATTCACATACATGGGATACATAAAAGTTTTTTTTAATGGTCTGATACTGACATACCTCGAGGAATAAATGACTTGAAAATCCTGTGTGTTTTTTTATTAAACAGCACACGAGAGCACTTCCCACCTTCGGTGAGTACACAGAGTTACAACTTTAGCATCTCCTTGGAGCAGATTTACAGGAAGTGGAAATGACATGTACAAAAACAGATATGTTGGTAACATTTAAATAAAATCATCACTCATAATAATATAATAGTCCAAGGCCAATCATGGTGGGCTTAATGCTTAAAGCTTTGTATCATGACAGAACCAGCTGCTCCCCTCCTGCCTCCTGGCCCACATCTCCCCTCATTCACCTACACGGGAGCATCTATTCTCAGCGCTCATTGTTTTTTATTCACGTATTGTTTTCCATTCATAGAAGGAGGAACTTCTATAATGTGTGTTATTTAAGCTGATGTTGTTCAGTAGAGAACACACATAACAGGTGTATTGTAATACTACAAATAGAGTGTGACTTTTAAAAGGTTATGTTTCTTATGTTTAGTCATTCATCTGCTGTTTTTGTTATAAAAAAAGACTTGTGCAGATGCTCACAAAATCCCCAAATGTCCCTGACAAGGTCTGCTTTTTTCAGATTTTTTTCATAATAAAGTTTATAAGGGTGCAAATACTCCCGAGTGGAAGATAATTCCTCATAGATTCATAAACCAACCTACCAAATTCATATACCCAAGAAACACTACATCATTAAATTAGACATCTAGATGAATCTAAATTAAGTAAGTATTAGAACTGCAGAGGACCTTGAGTACAACCAGTGGTACACATACCGTAGTTTGAGAAACATTGGCCACTAGTTTTTTCTACTCAAAATACCAAACTCACTAAGTAATTCTTTGTTGTATGTAACAAAAATGATTGATTGTTCTGCTTTGAGGCCAGGGTAACACAACTGGATCCTATTCCTTCAACACTTTCTATTCCTACTTGTATGAGTCACATGACCTGCCCACACAACTCTCTTCTGTAAATAGAAAATGGTTGACCCGTCGACCCTCCCTCTACTTATATTAGAGAATATGATACCAAAAGCCAACAGAATAATTATGACAACTTCAAACTACATCAGAGATTATTCTCTGTTTTTCAGACATTTGTAGATACAATGACATTCATTTTTTCCACAATTATTGTAAAACAAGCCAAACCAATCCAAGAATTCATCATCAACAGGTTACTGCTAAATGCAAGAAAGGAAGAAATAAAGTTACAAAATAAAGTTATGCCTTGCTATACATATCATATGTGTCATATGTATGTGCAGGTGTGTGTGTGTGTGTGAGTGCGTGCATGTGTGTGCGTGTGCATGTGTGCGTGTGCGCGTCTGTGTGTAATTGCCAGTGTTGCAGGAAGCACAATGATGACGCACAGGGAGAGCTCTGAGCTGGTGCAGAGAAACATGCCCTAAAGAGCCTTAAGAGCCTCACAACACAAGCTCCAACAGAAGCTGGGGTTTATTATCCACACAGCAGGGCCTGTGATGGTGCCTCTGCCACACAAGAGCTGCCACGAGGGAACCTGCATTAGTCCGGCAGAGTGGCAACCCCAGCATTAAAAGTAGGTTAAGAAGTAAGCATCAACTCCACTAGAACAAAGCAAATCCCTATGAGATTTACTGTGTCCAAAAGGCTCAAAATCTTACATGATACTCTTCCTATTTTAATACATGACATGCCCTGACCCACAGTCTGACACACATTAAAGAAGAAAAACTGATTTAATTTTTTTTTTTTTTTTTATAGTCATTCATTACAATCAGACATTTTAGTTTGGAGGAGCTTTGGGGGTGGTAAGTCCTTCAGTGGGGTTGCTCACACATTAATTTAGAGACTTAAATGGTCGCGAGAACACCCCCACCCTCCACCGTGTTTGTTTTGCTGTTCAAAGTTTTAAAAAAATATTTGTAAAAATTGTTTCTGAAATATGGAAATAGTGGACTGCAACAAGTATGTGAACAGCAGGCTGGACTGACTGGAGGGACAACAGTAATGCTGTGTACAAGAAAGGTATGAGTAGACTCTACTTCCAGAGAAAGCTCAGGTCTTTCAAAGTGTGCAGCAAATTACTGGAGACCTTCTACCAGTCTGTGGTGGCCAACGCTGTGTACTTCGCTGTGTTCTGATGGGGGAGCAGCAAAAATGGACATTGGGCAGATTGATAAACTGATCTGTAAATCACGTGATTGGCTCTGTGCTGAAGACATTTGTCACATGTGGGACAGGAGGACACTGGACAAACTGCTCTTCATCATAGACACTCCTGCTCACCCACTGCACCAGACTATAGAGGGACAGATAATACTCCCTACAACTGTACAACAACTCACCCACTGCACCAGACTATAGAGGAACTCAAATCCAACAGGCCCCTACAGCTCCGCTCAGACAGTGAGATACGGGACTACATTCATACGATACTCCACACAGATGTACAACAACTCACTCGTATATAACGGATAATACTCCCAACAATGGTACAACAACTCACTTTTATGTAACAGATAACCCTATATCGTGACAATCATCATATCATTGTTGAACTTGTTTTCCTTATGACCTCTTGTATATAGATGAGACTTTTTTTATTTTCTATTTTATTTTTGACGTGTACATATGCATTTATATACTTATGCCTTTAGAGCGTCCTGCGTTTTTGCGGCGCATCTTCGGCGTCAGCGCGGCGCGAATCTGGCGTCGACGCGGCGCGTCTTGAGCGTTTTCGCGTCGACGCTCTTGACGCGTTGAAAATGCTGAACTTTTCGCGTCAAACGCGCCGCGTCAACCAATCAGGGACGAGTATCCAGTGACGCAGCGACGTTAAAGACCCGAGAACCAGAGCGAGAGCCACAAACATGAGCGGAGATTAAATATATACGCCACAATCACCGAGCCGATCGCGAGGAATACACCAGGACCGGACCGGAACTAAACCAGGACTAGACCAAGACTAAACAAGGACTAGACCGAGACTACTAGACCGAGACTAGACCGGGACTAAACCAGGACTAGCCCGGGACTAAACAAGGACTAGACCGGGAATAGACCGAGACTAAACCAGGACTAGATCGGGACTAGACCGTGATTAGACCGGGACTAGACCGGGACCAGACCGGTATTAGACCAGGACTAGACCGGGACTAGACCGGGACTAAACCAGGCCTGATCCAGTGTCATTAGCGGATAAATATATACGGTGTCGGCTGCATGGTGCGGCATTTGAGGGCCGTGCCCCCCCTAGCGGCCACTGGTGCCCCACCCCCCAGCACAGGCCGTTATTATTGCTATTTTTAAATGATTCTGATTGACGCATTTCACTTCGGGCACAAACTTTAGCGCCCAGACCAATGACATCACAGTCTCTGTTTATTTACTGTAGTGTGATTGGACAACTGTTCTGTCACTCACGTCACGTCAACATGCTGCGTCAACTCGTAGCAGCTCCACGATTAGCGGCTGCTGCTACTTTAGCCTAAAGCTCCACACAGGAAATGGCGAGGACAGAGTCAAAGACACTGACAGACCCGCCGCCGGGACCCGGGACTGTCGCTGCCGGGGCTGGGTCAGTTGCCACCGGGCCGGAGCTCTCGCTGCCGCCGCCGGGACCAGGCAGAGGATAAAGTCTATCCGCCTTTGCCCGCTCGTTTCTGGGTGTAAAAGTTTGACCTGGGTGTAGCGCAGAGGCAGAAGTCCACCTGGTGTCTTCGTGCTAATATGGACTGGTGGAACTTTCAGATTTAAGTGGGAAGTGGGATTAAGTTTTAGTTTTACAACCAGCTTGTGCATTCGGCTCCCGGACCTCGCGTCACGGACCTGACTGGACCGGGATTTGAACCAGTTTCATCTCTTCATTGGACAATAGACTTTTGGAAACAGAACCAATAGGACAGTGGATAGAGGAAACACTCTGCTTCAGTCTCTGG